TAGCCAGTTGAAGAGAACTCATATCTGGTTACGATATCTTGAGTATTGTGTGGGCGCATGTCGCCAGTTGCTGTTTCGCTGTTTGCATACATGACAAGTTGAATAATCAGAAGTGTGATTTCAACTCAGTCTAAGAGATCGTCTATCCTGGGATGTGGTTCTGCATTCTTTATGGTTACGGCATTCAGTCCCCTCTAATCTATACACATACGTAACTCTCCCTCTTTTTCTTTGGGACGAACAGAACAGGTCACGAAAAGAACATGAATTGGGCCTAATCCATCCTTTTTCTAAGAGCTCATCCAACTGCTTACGAAGCTCTTCCAGTTCTTTGGGGGACATCATGTAGACGGCCCCTTTTGACGTCCCACTGCCAGGCTCTATCTCGATACTATGCTAGATAGGCCTTGGCACTACTCCTGAAGGTGCTTCAGATAAATCATTATACTCTTCCAGTAAACTGGCAATAGCGGGATGGAGCTTTTTATCTTCTTTTGGCTTGCCAAAAATCGGCCTAACATAGGCTACGAACACCTGCTCTTTGAGCTGCTCCTTCCATACAAACCTAATAAAAGCAGGAGTGCTGAGGCAGCAATGTGCTAGGGGATTGTCTACCCCAGACTCATCATATAGGCGGACTTGCTTAACTTCACCCGACGAACTAGGGAGTCTGCCCTCGTGCTCTCTACAAGGTGCAAAGTGGCTCGTCTGTACCCAGCACTATGTCAAACGGGAGATTCTCTTCTACCAGAAAAGTCGGACTGAAGAACTTTTTCTACCTTCCCTTCTTCCTCTAGGCGGAAGTATGCCTGGATTCCTTCAAAGTACTCCTCGACTCGCATCCTACTGTTGTCCACAAGGATGCTGACTACAGGATCCTGCAATCGTTGGACTTTTAAGTCGGGCGCCCTGCAACTAATATAACTCCTAGTCGCCCCACTATCTATAAGAGCTCCTACTCTATCTCTAAAAATATCTACATCTGCAAGGATTAGCTGTCCTTTCCCATCTCTCTTCATCCTGGCCGAGACTTGCCTTCTCTCCTTCAACTCTTCAGCTAAGCCTGTGAGGGAAGCGTCTAGCGAAACTCTGACATAAGCAGCCTCTGGACAGCTTACTATACACTGGCCAGCAACCTCTGCCATGAAGACATGTGGAGGGGGAGCCTCTATCTCGAGCGCACGCTATGATACCAGTGAAATCAGCCTGCACTCCAAACTTGCTTGCACCATGCACACACAGCAAACTGATGGTAAACCAAACGCTTTCAACTCAAAACTCACAATGAACTTGCACTTAAAACTCTTTTCAAGTTAACTGTACAAACTTGCGGCTATGGCCGCCGAACGCTGTCTTCACCACCAGCCTCACTCTCCCTCATATACACATGTACAAGGATCTTCCCTGAATGTCCAAGCTATGCATACACACACAATGTACACCATGTCTGTGTGTCAGCACCTGGGCGGCTATGGCCGCCCTCGTCTTCCTCCTCCTAGCTATGGCTGCAGTTGTCTTCCTCCTGGCCAGCTATGGCCATCGTCTTCCTCACTGCCCCCTTCCTCTCTGGGCACCTGCAGACCTCCACGCACAAGACACCAAGGCAGCACTTCCGCATGGCTCACAGGCGAATGCATGCATGACAAGTTTATTTATAGTAACCCGCAGGTGACCTGGCCCTACCCCAAACCGCGTGGGCCTGGGCCTCTAAAGGTGTGAGCCTGGCTTCTCAACGCGTGGGCCCAGGTCTGGAAGTTCCCACACCGCGTGGGCCTTTCTAGCTCAAACCGCACGGGCCCTTCCCTTCCAGCCACAAGCAGCCCCTACCCTGGTACTTGCCGACTTGAACAGACCTACAGGGACCTACAGCCTTCTAGAACCTACAGACCTACGGCCTGACCCTTAGGCCCCAGTAGACATAGGTGGAGACTTGTAAGCTTGAAGAACGCATAGATAGACGACTGGCGGAAGAGGGATTCGAACCCCCGACATGCGAATTATGATTCCGCTGTTCTAACCTACTAGATAGGCCCTAGCTAGAGCTAGTGGTAACACACTAAACTGCTAAAACACAGATCTGCGGATCAAGGCCTACCAGCTAACAGACAGATCTACCAACTAACCAAAGGGTTTAGGGACAGGTCATAGGTTCGAATCTTGCTCAGCACACAGAGTCAAAGTACAAGGTTTAGGCACAGGTTTAGGGATCGAATCTCAGAGTCTGCAAATGTCGGGTCAACTTGGTGAAACTGTTTCAGTTACAAATTTGTGCTCCATTATTTGACAATCTGAGTGGTCTTATCAAGTGGCCCCTTTTAGGGGCCCTCATCGTTTTACTTATTCCTAACTCGAAAATACGGTTGATACAAAGTACTGCCTTTGGCACCTTTTTTATCACTTTTTTTCTCAGTCTTCCATTTCGACAGCCTGCCTGTGTGGCCAAGCGAAACTATTGACAAGCGTGTCGACAAGGGTGTGGCGAGCCCCAAAAACAAGAGAAGAGTGACAAATGTCTAACGTAAACCGAGTTGACACGGGAACACTGCAAAAAAATATAAGATAACAAGAAAAAGCACGCTTTTCTGCAGTGGGAGAGGCACATGCTGTTAACGCCTACTTAGTACTTAAATAAACAAGAGAGGAGTGACAAATGTCTAACGTAAACCGAGTTAACACGGGGAACCTGCAAAAAAATATAAGATAACAAGAAAAAGCACGCTTTTTTGCAGTGGGAGAGGCACATGTAAACCGAGTTAACACGGGGACCCTGCAAAAACATATAAGATAACAAGAAAAAGCACGCTTTTTTGCAGTGGGAGAGGCACATGCTGTTAACGCCTACTTAGTACTTAAATAAATAATCAAAACACTTAACACAAAAAGCCAGGCCAGATATTCTTCAGTCAGATATTCTTCAATTTCAACATCTCATTTCCAACAAAATTAGGAATCCAAGAAACATAACACATTCTCTTCAATGCCGACACAAGGTTCCAGAACTAACTCCCCACACCCTCATTTTACTCCCGCCTCCGTAACCCTCCTCACACTTCTAATTAGCAGAGAGACCGAGCACTGACTCCTGCCTCTAAAAACTCTTTCAGGGAAACAGGGACTCAATTTTGTTAAGAGAGACTGCAAAAAAAAATTGTACACAGCGTCAAAGCCAGTTGCAAATGAACTGCCCGCCAGAAAATTGTCCGAAGGCTTGCAAACATAGCATCCAGGGCCGCCTCCGTTCATTAAAAAAAAAAAAAAAAAAAAAAAAAAAAAAAAAACTATTGCTAGCGAATGGCGAATGACGCGCTCGAAGAAGAAATGCAAGGACCCAAGGCAAAGCTGCTCCGAGAAGAAATGCAACTACCCAAAGCAAAGCTGCTCCGATCATTCGATTGAGCAGAGACAAGAAGGGGGTCGCAGCATCTTAGTCCATGCGTCCTTTCAGAGTTCTCGTGATGACCTCATCAGGGGTTCTGCACAGGCCACAAACAGACAAAACAAACACTCCGCGCATGAGTCGCTTAAAAGAGACGAAAACCGGGAAGAAAACAAAAAGGAAACATCAGAAAATAGAGATAGGGCAGCACACACAAAGGCATCGCGGGAAAATAGAGAAAGGGAAAGGCTACCCAGGAGAGAGGCTCGAGTACGGGCGTCATCCCCAGTTCCCATTTTTTCTTCCTAAACCTCGCGAGCACCGCCACTGCTGCCTGCTGTCGACTGCACACCCTCCCATGTGTAACTCAAAAAGTGGGGGGCTCATAGGTTTCTCATCAGCTTGATGCTGCCTCGTGTCAATCCCTCCTCTACTTGGCCCGATACAGGTAGACCAGTCCTTGAGAATTTGCTCAGCACCTGAATTTATCTCGCTGATTCAATCATGTCCTCCCTCTCCTTCCCTTGTCTCCCTCGACTTCACGAAGAAAGCATCCGAATCTGACTGTGAGGAGTTGAGGAAGAAAGGCATCAGGATGAGAAAGAGGGCGGCATCTGATAACATGCAGACAATTCCTTGAAAACCACCTCACCTGTTTTCGAAACCACATGATAAGTTCTTTATAAATTTTCTTCGACAGACTAATTGATGTAAAGTTCTTTCATGGAAGGGATCACAGATGAAGAAGCAGCAGGACATGTTTCACATACCTTTGTCCGTCCGACAGATGGGGTCCAGTTTCCACAACCCTTTTAGCGCATTTTCTCTCGTTTCGCTCAGATTTCTCAGGTCAGGTAGAGTCACAGGACCAAAGGCCAAATCCACTCTGGTATATGTTTATTCACTTCGAGACTACAAGCCCAAAGCTCCGGGCAGACATCCAGGATAGCCCTCCTGCCAGCTGGGTGTATCCAGCCCGGGGCNGGGGGGGGGGGGGGGGGGGGGGGGGGGGGGGGGGGGGGGGGCGAAATAAATTGAAAATAAAAATGCTGTAGAACATAGTGCGAGGGTTCTACACCTCGGCATATGGCCCAGCAACAGGCGCTTGCCCGCCCTAAGTGAAGGCGGGCCCCCTGAATCTGAATGCACCCTGAACTCGCCAATTTTTGCAAATCTTGGTCGGCGCCAGTTGGTTACATCCGCTCTGCACGTGAGAATGGGAAAGATTCGTGAGCCTTCCAGGCCATTCTAGCAACGTGGGGTAAGCAGAGAACATCGCACGAATGTGCCTGGGTGGTTGGACATGCCTAATCAACTCGGTCCCAGGCCACTGTCTGAACGGGCCTGGGTGCAGACACCTTGGCGGAGACTGAAGCTACGGAGGCCACTGTTAGATTACTGGTGGGGAATCAATGGTTGGGGGCAGCCCTATGACGAAGTGAGTTCTGTCTTGAGAGTCCTCTCATTGTGAGGTGTCGCGAGCGCTCAACCTTGAGAGTCGACATTCTTCCTGGAAGCAAGTTGGTGGGAGAGGGGTGTTGCCTCTGAAGGGCCCTGGACGAAGCACTCGGGTCACGGTCACCATGCCAACACGCTGGGATTAGTAAACGCATGCTATGCTGCTTGTCCTTGGTTCTGCTTGCTGCGCTATAGAGGGAACGTGGACTGACCTACACGAGACGCATACCGAACCATCTGTGGGTACTTCTGGCGGATCCGACTTGAATCCTGGCTGTGATCGCTGTCCTGCCTGCGACGTTAAATAATTCCTGAGGACCTTGGGGGCTGTCCTTACTGCCGCTTGATCAGCAAGATCAACCGGATGTCAGGCTCGTTGCACGCGAGGATAAAGAACGGGCAGGACTGGTCATAAATGATTTCCTGGGCACAAGGGTGGGCCGAATGCACACCTTCAGACACGCCGCTGAACCAGAGTCTTAGGACGTCAACATCAGGTGACCACTCAAGAGGGATAGAGGGGGAGGGAAGATACCAGTAAACAGCTCGAATGTTTATTATTGGAAAATTTCTATTCTGCATGCCCAACTAGCAAATGATTTTATTTTATTTTCGATTAGTTAGTTGTGACGGACGCTGCTAACTGACAGACAGCTGCAGATAGATAGTACACATTCCTTGCTGCATTGCAATCTGTCTCAGACTAGTCAAAAGCAGGAATAGAATTGTTTGTAGGAATCTGAGATTTTCTGCTAGTACCGCTTGAATAGTTTCTGACAAACTGGACCAAGTATTTATTTCTTTATTTTTAGTTCGTTGGATACCATGCTGCGGTAGGTCCCAGCCAGGACACTAGTGCAGATCGTGGACCACACATAGCTCATGAGTGGAGATAACAAGGGTTGATAGAGTAGAGGAGGACGATAGGAGATTAACCAGAAGACAGGCACTCAGTCCGGAGACCGCTTTCCTAGTGTTAGAACAAGGAGAGGAAAGGAGGCTGCGGAGAGAAGCCAGAGAGGGGAATATTGCAGAGGGATAGGGAAGCAGCGGCCAACGCCGAAAGTCCACTAGCAGCGGCAACAGTAGTAGAGGCTAGAGTCAGTGCTGAGGCAGCCATGGATACCCCCTCTACGCAAGCCTCCTCTCAGGCATCTTCGGCAGGTGTCAGTCAGGGAATCTCCCAGGCGCCTGTTAGTCAATCTGATGGCCTGCAGGTCAGCCAGCAGCAACCAATGTCAGAATGAGGATTGTGAGATTCAACAGGCGGATGCTCTCCACACAGAGTTACGGCGCCAGTTGCAGGAGGTAGAAGGTAGGAGAGACAGAGCCAGACTTAGAAAAGCCAGACTAGAGGCAAGGGGAGAGGAGTTAGGCAAGTTAGAAGCTATAGATGAGTCAGTTCTTGACCCTGTAATGCTGTTCCTTCGGAACTCCCTGTTGAGTGTGGCCTAAGTGCAAGCAGTGCAGCAAGAGATGCTGGCTGCACTGATAGCTAGTCAGAATCAGATTCTGACCGCACTGCGGGCGCCACAACCTCAGGTCAGGCAGACATAGTATGCTGTAGCTCCCCCTACGGTTGCAGGTCCCACCATGACACTGCAGCCGATAGGTCAACCCTTTACTCCCCAGTTTGGCATTCCCACATCCGGCGGTCTAGTAGCAGGTAGTAGTGGGCAGATTCCTGTACAGCCTTCTTCATTTCCCCTACCAGTGGTTGCTGCTACAGGGCAGCCACAAGTGCAACAACCTTTGCAACATGGTCCGCAGCAGCAGCAACAGCAGTTGCAACAACAGCAGCAATTGGCACCGCAGCGACCGGTCCCACCGGTTTCACAACCAATGCAGCAGGCACAAGGAGTTATACCAACCATGCAGTAGACACCCAAGATTCCCTTGTTGAGTCCTAAACCCTTCTCTGGCGACAAGAAGAAGGACAAGGACCTGGATACGGGGAGGAGGACTGTGCCTACTTATGTGAGGCACAAGCTCACTAGGACAGAGGATGAAGTCATTGTCGCTGTATCCTTTCTAGAAGGATCTGCAGCCAGATGGTTGAATGGGTAGTACAGCAACAAGGCTACGGTCAGAACTTCGATGGTTGGGCACAAGCCACATCGTTGGAAGAGTTTGCATGGCTAGTCTACAGCAGGTAGCATGATCCCCAAGGAGCTCAGAAGACCACCGACTCCCTGGCTAGTCTGGGACCCGAAAGATACTAGACAGTTCGTGAGGTAACAGACGCCATAGAGCGACTGATCGTTGTCCCTGGTGTGCAGTACGAACTGCAAGTCCTCTTGACAACTCATTTGCGATGTCTGCCTACAGATGTTAAAGATAAGTTGGTTGATGAGGCCTCCATTGATGTATATGACTTTGCTTCATTCAACAAGAAGGCCTTAGACATTGCAGCTAGGCTTGGGAGTGCCCATCAGGGACAAGTAGATGGGAGAAAGAAGAAGCTCCCTCAAGATTGGAAGAAGAAGGGCAACCTCGTGTTCGTTGAGCATGACGGTCATACAACTGAGATTGATGACTCATCTGACCTTGGGGAAGTAACAGAGTTGGATGGGGGTGGAGACACTTCAAATGGTGGAGTGGTCACTCCTGTCAAGGAAAAAACTAAAAAACGAAGGGGGCCGAAAAACAGAAGGCAGGCCGGCCCAAGGGTCAATATGACCAAGGTACACCCATATGGGTAAAACTTCGTCTAGAATACGAGGTGTGGCGAGACTGCATCGCACGACGTGCTTGCACGAATTGTGGCCAGTATGGTCACACCATGGCTAAGTGCAAGAGTAAGCAGGTCGCCACGAAGGTCGCATCATCAATTGTCACGGTCGGATCTTCAAACTCAGGTGGTGGTTCTGCGAGCACTTCTTAGGGAAACACCTCGGGCCAGTAGGAGTGCTATCCTCTCTTACTCGTGCTGAAGTGGTAACTTTACCTTCTCCATTTCAGACGAAGGCCAAGGCTATTGACCAATTGATCGCCCCGTAGACAGATCTAGACCAATTGATGCTCTGTTCGATGGATGTGTTTGAGTCCTTAGGAGTTAGAAACTGAGTGGTTAGAGAAAGACACTAGAGATTCTTGGGTGATGTTGAACAAAGGTCCAAAAGGTGAACACTTCGTGGTAGAAGTCAATGTAGGTGGCCGAAAGGTTGGCGCCTTCGCAGACATAGGTTCTACGCAAAACTTCATCAGTCGCACTTGTGTGGATAGGCTGCTCTTATGGGACAAGTGCAGCAGCCTAGCAGATCTGTGACATCTACCTTAGCCAACAAGCACTTTATCGTAGTAAAGGACTACGTCACGACGTAGTCTGCACCTTCTCTTATGGAGGAGGGGAACTGATACACGATCTCGTTCCTAGCTAGCGGCGAGCTGCCATTCGACATGTTGTTAGGCATGTACTACCTCGAGGTTGCTAAGCCTCACTTCAATTGGTATAGGAAGTTAATGATCCACAAGTTACCAGATGGAAGGACCATTCGATTGCAAAAGTTTAGGCTAGCAGACTAGTGGAGAACTACGGTTGCATGTGTGCATCATCTTTCTATAACTACTATAAGCAAAATCGCGAGGAAGGTATGTACTTGGTCTTTGTCTCTAAGAAAGGGGAGGCCGTAAAACCAC